TGAAATAAATGATCTCACCAATACATTTTAATAGAAAGTTAGCAAAAATAGATAAGATCTTGCTACCATGGAATGGTAAATACCTGTCTATTTGTGGAAAGATCACCCTGATTAACTCTTTAGTATTATCCCAGTTTACCTATTTGCTTATGGTCTTGCCTACGCCTAGCGAACAGTTTTTTAAATTATATGAGAAAACAATATTCCATTTTATTTGGAACAGCAAGCCAGACAAAATTAAAAGGGCCTATTTATATAATGAATATGAATTCGGAGGACAAAAAGTATTAAATATTAAAGCATTAGACCTATCACTAAAAGCTTCAGTCATACAAAAGTTATACTTAAATCCGCACTGGTTCTCTCGCAAATTAGTAAGATTGTCTCACCCCATGTTCAAGAATGGCCTTTTTCCCTTTATTCATCTCCCAAATATCACTATTTCTAAAACAAGCCATAGAAAGTTGGTTGCAATTTCAATTTAATCCTCCAGAAATGCCAGAACAAATAATGCAACAACTATTGTGGTTAAATTCAAATATACATTATTTTTTTGAAAATTTTTTTTTAAAGGGTATAATCTTCAGAAATGATATCATAGGTAGGACTGGTGGAGTTATGTCGCACATGCAGCTAACAAAAACATGGAAATGTCTGCTCTACCCAAAATTACAACCAAATAATTGCAGCGTTACCACAAAAATGGAAGAGGAAAGTGGAAAAAAGTAAGGAACTGTCGGCCCTGCATTAAAGAACATAATTGGTTAAAGAAAATTGTGAAAAATAAAAAAGTATACCAGTTTCATTTAAGGACCAAAGGATTGATAGCCATCCCATATAGATTGCAAAATAGTTGGGAAGAGATTTTTGACGTACCGATTCCATGGCAGAGTGTTTTTTAACTGATACGCAAAACTACGGCGGATTCAAAACTTAGAATTTTTCCAATTTAAACTATACAACATTTTTGCTACCAATAGAATGTTATTTATATGGGGCATACAATCTTCCCAGAACTGCAGATTTTTGCTGCAAAGAGACAATCATTAGATCATTTGTTTTAGTACTGTCCATTTGTAGCTTGTTTTTGGTCACAGGTCCAGGAATGGCTGAAGGATTGCAATTTTTACCTGGCACTAACCATGCATATAGCATTACTGGGTGATCTGAAAAGTCATAGTCAATCGATCAATAATATAATAATACTTTTAGCAACAAAATGTTTTTTTCAATTTACAATCTGTAGAAACAATGAGAATAGAAGGGTTCAGAACTTTTGTGAAACATCACAGTACAGTTGAAAAATATATGGCAAATAGAAATCCTATATGGATGGTGTTAAGAGATAGATGGGAGGTGTTGAATGGAGTTGATGGATGGGACTAATAACAACTACTAATAACAACAAGATAACTAATGTAATGCATACCGTGTCCATAATAAGTATATAGGTTATAGGTTGAGAGCTTTTGTGAAAGAGCACAGTTAGAAAGATATGGCATATAGAAGCAAACCGGATGGACATCATGAAAATGAACGGAAGACGTTGAGGGTAGAGGAAGTTCAGGAGTAAAAACAAACAAAATATAATTATTGTAAAATTGACTGTGTCCATAAAATGTATATAGTATGTATAAGCTGGAAGTAGAGGCCTAAGCGATGTTGTTCACTAGTTTACTCCAATTAGGGAAGGGGTGGTGGGGTTGGAAAGTAATAAAGGGAAATATATATTTTTTTAAAGGATAGAGAGATATATATATATATATATATATATATATATGCGAGAAAATAAAACATATGGGGGATTGGAAGTGATGCAGACAATTACATTGATGGAAGTTACAATCTGCAATATTAAAGCTGATCTACACCCCCCCCCCCCCCAAAAAAAATACAAAACAAAGAAAAAATAAACAAAAAATACTAAACCAAAGTGGGGGGCCTAAAAAGCTCTCAAAATCAGCCACACTGACTGGCCAATCGCACCCATTGCCATGCCCCCTGCCACGCCCACCACCTAAGCCCCTTTTTGATAAAAATAAAACAAAAAACCTGTAGCCTGAGAGGTATGGGGCCTGACCCCCACCCTTCACCCCTGCCGTTCCCCCCTGTCCATCCCAGTCTGGCTGCTCCACTAGTCTAAAACAGTGGGTCTGTAATCCCGTTAGTGCCAGTCCAGCGCCCTTGGCGGCGTAGCCGGCCGGGGACAGACACTGCCTGGGGGCTGCTGGACTTGGGCCCCTCACTGTGGCACTCTATTGAGCAACAGATTAACTACCCTATAAACCTGGTGAAGATTGAGAAATAGTCATGTGTATGTGGACAGTTACACCAGACTACCAGCTAGGGATGTAACGATTCACCGATATGCATCAGTCCCAATTCAAATGTTTAAGATGTGAGTGCATCGGTCCACGGACCCCAAACAGATCCAAATGTATGCATTGGTCAGAAAGTTGATTCAAACGTTACGAATCACAGGTTCACTAATATTTTTCTAATTTCTCATATTACATTCTATATACCTTCCGAAAATACCTCATATTTTGTGACAGCGGCTGAGTCTACTCCTTCAGTGTCAAACTAACTGTTGATAGTCATTGATCTACAAGTCATTTTGAATGCTGAACAATCCCAGGCAATATCACTTGCCTAGTCAAACTGCGCACTGTGCCCAGCTTCATGCACTGATCAACGCAAGGTAGGCAGCCTGTTCCTGAGCTTGCACATCTGCGCGGCACGTTCGGCAGTCAAATGCGAAAATGGCTTGCATGATATTAGGCTTTATTAGTTGAGTGACAGCCTATGTAATTTGCTAGGGTATTGTTATCATGCGCTGTTGAAAATTGTGTTTACCGGAATAAAAGTAAGCTACCTGAGACAACTCATCTGGCTATACCTGCTGAACAGGGCTTACAATAGATTTTATTTTTAGATATGAAATGATATATTTGACCCTGTATAACGAGGACAGAAATGCTCACTCCGTAAATCTTCCAAACGGTCAAAACCATTCGATTTTGAGATGAGGGTGAAAACCAAAGTTGTGCTCATATATACACTACATGGCCAAAGGTATGCGGACACCTGCCAATCGAACATCTCATTCCAAAATCATGGAGTTGGTCCCCCCATTTGCTGCTATAACAGCCTCCACTCTTCTGGGAAGGCTTTCCACTAGATGTTGGAACATTGCTGCGGGGACTTGCTTCCATTCAGCCACAAGAGCATTAGTGAGGTCAGGCACTGATGTTGGGCGATTAGGCCTGGCTCGCAGTCGGCATTCCAATTCATCCCAATGGTGTTCAATGAGGTTGAGGTCAGGGCTCTGTGCAGGCCAGTCATGTTCTTCCACATCGATCTCGACAAACCATTTCTGTATGGACCTCGATTTGTGCACAGGGGCATTGTCATGCTGAAACAGGAAAGGGCCTAACTCCAAACTGTTGCCACAAAGTTGAAGCACGGAATCGTCTAGAATGGAACTAAGGGGCCTAGCCCGAACCATGAAAAACAGCCCCAAACCATTATTCCTCCTCCAAACTTCACAGTTGGCACTATGGCACTATGCAGTCGGGCAGGTAGCGTTCTCCTGCCATCCGCCAAACTCAGATTAGTCCGTCGGACTGCCAGATGGTGAAGCGTGATTCATCACTCCAGAGAACACGTTTCCACTGCTCCAGAGTCCAATGGCAGAGACACCACTCCAGCCGACACTTGGCATTGCGCATGCTGATCTTAGGTTTGTGTGCGGCTGCTCGGCCATGGAAACCCATTTCACGAAGCTCCCAACAAACAGTTTTTGTGCTGACGTTGCTTCCAGAGGCAGGTTGGAACTCAGTAGTGAGTGTTGCAACAGAGGACAGACAATTTTTACGCGCTTCAGCACTCGGCAGTCCCGTTCTGTGAGCTTGTGTAGCCTACCACTTCGCGGATGAGCCGTTGTTGCTCCTAGACGTTTCCACTTCACATTACAGCACTTACAGCTGACCGGGGCAGCTCTAGCAGGGCAGAAATTTTACAAACTGACTTGTCGGAAAGGTGGCATCAAATGACGGTGCCATGTTGAAAGTCACTGAGCTCTTCAGTACGGGCCATTCTACTGCCAATGTTTGTCTATGGAGAATGCATGGCTGTATGCTCGATGTTATACACCTGTCAGCCATGGGTGTGGTTGATGAAAAAGCAGAATCCACTAATTTGAAGGGGTGTCTACATACTAGTAGTATAATATATTGTAAACGACAGGTTAATTAATGGGTGATGGTGATTTCAGAACCAAAGTGGCGGTCAAAAAACATGTTACATTGCCCTCCTAATCTGATAGTGGTAAATCAAATCAAATGTATTGGTCACATACACATGGTTAGCATATGCTATTGCGAGTGTAGCAAAATGCTTGTGCTTCTAGTTCCGACCGTGCAGCAATATCTAGCAAGTAATATCTAACAGTTCTACAACAAAAATCTAATACACACAAATCTAAGTAAAGGAATGAGAATAGATTTGAATTTAAAATGGAAAATCGTGTTTATGCAACAAATGTTCGTTCTTGGAATCGTATCGATTCGTTCTCTAATCAAAACGAATCGCACAGAACCGTTTCAAACTAAAAAGTATCGTTCCTGTATCGTATCGGAGCCTATGTATCTAGATAAGCATCGTCTTGAAAGGGAAATATGCACATCCCAACTACCAGCAGACTGTCCAGGGAGCAGTCTACCCTAAGTTAATGACAGGTAGCATCCAACGCTCCATGAAAGCTCTTAGGCCATATCGATTCCATCAATGACAAGAAAATCAACTGACAGAGTTGTAGTAGTGGCCATTAAATCAACAATAAAGCATGTATTATTAAGTACTGATTAAACAAATCCCAAATTGCAGGGGCACATTGTGAGGTGAGGAGAATTTTGTGCTCCTAGTAATGCTAGAGGTCCAGTAGGGTTGAGGTGTACCAGTCAGGTAATTAGAATGACCCGTGTTAGTCACCTACTCACCTGGCTCAGAGCTGCTGCAGGGCGGAGGGGAGGGGACCTTTAGAGCAGGACACAGTTTGATTTCTTTTTCGCCTTCTTCTTTTCCACAGGCGTTTTCCTATTTATCTGTCTGACCAAGTCATAGAAGATCTGCAAACACAAAACCATTGTTAAGTGCTATGACACATTAAAAAGCAATAGTTATCTGTACATTTAAATTACTAGTCAGCAGTTTGATTGTCAGTACTCACGTCGAGGACGTTGATCTTTGACTTAGCGGAGGACTCTAAAAAGGCACAGTGGTTCCACTGTCTGGCCAGGTTCTGACCCTGCTCCTTTCCCACCACCCGCTCATCCTCCAGGTCACACTTATTCCCCACCAGGATCATCGGCACCTGGGAGTGAAAAGAACCAGACACAGATGAGGGATAACATCAAAATGTTACTAAAACATTTAACTGGAACCAGACAAAAAAACACATGGATCAATACTAATGATGGATGAAAAATCTATAGTTACACATCACAATATTATAAAAACGATACTTTGACTCGATTTGTAAAAATGTATTTTTTGGGGGGGGGGGGGGGGGGGCTAGGTAGCTTTAGCTGGCGCTAGTCAGCTGTATCGGCACCAAAACTCTGGTATTTTCCATCCTATTGCTTGTTTAAATAGTGAGCCAACATGTATAGCACTTTTATTCCCATGAATGATCTAAATAAATTCTCTCATGCTCCATCTTGTCTCTCTGCAGCGGACATATAGTGAGCAATATGTTTGGAACTTCAAATCGCAATACATATAGAATCGTGAGAATCTCAATACATATCGTATCAGCACCTAAGTATGGTAATATTATCGTATGGTGCGGTACCTGGCAATTCCCAGCCCTAATCAATACAAGATGTGTGTGTATGGATTTGTCACACCAATCCTGACAGTGTGTTCTGGCTGTCTAGGGAGTTAGGGGAAAATGGAAAAAATGGCAGCCAAGCAGGATAGAAATCAGCTTACTGCCTGTTTCCCTGTGTTTGCATTGCATTCCATGCTCCAGCTGCTCCATGGAATGATACCATGGCAGACAGTGTGTGTGTGTGTGTGTGTGTGTGTGTGGAGCAGTACATAAGATCAAGGTGAGACCAAAGAGAGAATACAGGATGCTGGATTGAGTTCTCTAATCTCTACCCACTTTGACACCTTAATGAAAAGTCTAGAAACAGCAGCTCTGTGTAAAAGTTGCCCTATAAGCACAGATCTGGGAGCAACTTCACCTCTGCAGATCCTAACTTTAACCATTAGGGGGGCAGAGGATGCAGGAACGTAAAACTGACCTCAGAACAGCGTCTGGGGACAACTTCACCCTATTCGGCGTAGTGCCCTCTCTCACAGGGCAGATTACAGGAAGCAGTTTGGACTAGCTCCATGGAGGTAGCGCCGTGAAGTTTCAAATCCAAACAAACCCTTAGTCGGGGCCGTTGAACAACGGTTGCCCTAAAGTCCAAGCAGAACCGGAGGTATGCATTTCCAGGCTAGCTAACGCCAGATAGGGAAGAATGTAGCTGTAGAACCTCCCCAGTCAGCAACATGGAGGCAGGCAGGGAGGGAAGTTAAGCCTTGTCCAAGAGCCACACCGAGACGTACACATTGAGAAATCACAAGTCTGGCATTAGCCTATTACTCCGGCTGAACAGAAGAGGACTTAGACAGCAGGAGTCACAAGACCTCTTGCGTAAGCTATTTGTGTGACAGAAGGAAATAAAAAAAATGTGAGAAAAGCCGACACTAGTCCCATCACTTCATTCACCACCGTATGAGTCTCCTTGTTACCATTCAAGGAAATGGGCTTTGGTGTCCAGGTTTACTCTGGTAAGTTGTCTACTGATTAAAACACTTGCATTTGCACAATCTTAATGTTACATTGTGACACATTGTAGCTTGAAAAGAATCCTACCAAAAATCCTCAAAGCGTATTATAGTGGAACTAATCATCTAAGCACCTATTTCAGAGGCCTTGCCGTGTGGGTTCTCTGTTTTGTAGCCTGTGTGTTCCGTATGGACATGAAGTGTCTCTAATCGAGCCTGGCTAGACCATGAGCCCTGCCGTGGGTCTCCACATTCTCCAACTCTGTCGTAGTAAATGGTGTGTGGCATTCCCATCAAGCACTTGGAATGGAAATGGCTGAGCAGCACTGGACTCACTGTGCCCAAATTCAACCAAGAATCCATCCCTTCTTTTGAGGGGGAAAAAAACACTGAAAGCATTTCCGTTGGTCATGCATTCCTGCAAGAGGCAATGAAAGATAATCAGGGCGAAAATCTTAAATCGTCAGTGGAATGATAGCTGCCACAGAGAGCTGCAGTACAGTACAGAATTTCGAGAGAAAACATTGAGGAAAGGGATCGCACGGGCCTTCTTCCCTGTCGACAGCCAGTGATCCTACAATCAATCCCTAACCTCCATCATGCAATGGCTTTCTAATCTGAAGTGCCTCAGACAGATACCCTGGCCCATCCAGTGTTTCTGATGACTAGGGACTTTCAGTGGAGATCATCCGCCTCGGGCCAGACCACACGGACCACAAGCCAAGTGGGAAACAAAGAGTAACTAACAGGCAATGAAAAGAGCCAATCATAACAAAGTACAGGGGATCTATTGGCACACGGAGAGACATTAGCCCCGCCCACACAGAAAGCGATAGATAGTATAGGAAAGAGAGGGTGAAAGCGAGAGAACGCTAGAGCGGAAAGGGGTTCTACAGATCACCAAAAAAGGCCATCATCCTCCTGAGTGAGTATCTGTAGAGGCCAGGGGACTATGAGATCTCTCACTCTGATACTCCAAACAAGGAGGGAGTGCCAAGAAATGGGACTGTGGTTAATGTGGAGGGGTTGTAATAATAATAATAATATTTCCTTCTCTCATTCTTGCTGTATGAGCTCAGTTGTCATCACACCGCAAAGACTAGTTTATGATCATGGGTAAATGTTATATCGTGCTGTGGCGAATATAATATTTGTTTTAACTAGGGCCAGGAGTTTTTCTGATCATGTGGCCTGATTAGTAATAATGCTGGGCCCTAGTTATAATCCAAGGTAGCTACTCACATCTTCTGTGTCCTTTACTCTCAGGATCTGTTCCCTCAGGTCCTGCAGGTCGTTGAACGTGGACTGTGCTGTGATGGAGTATACCAGGGCAAAGCCCTGACCGTTCTTCATATACAGATCTCTCATTGCTGTGAACTGCTCCTGTAAGACAGACGGGAAAGATGCATCATGAGTTCTGATGTCATAGTTAATAAGACCTCTATTCCCCTGATCAATTTCATGATTTCCCCCCACAAAGAGTTCTACTTAATACATTCATTATGCTGCTGCTAGACATCACAGCAGATTTGACAACGTCATTGCTTTCACTCTCTCTGCAGTGCCCATTGAGCCGTTGGGCCCGCCCTGCAACCTCATTGGATAATGCTGGCCAGGCCTCTTGCTAGCTGTCACTCAAATGAGAGGGGCTGAAGTTCATTGGCTAGCACTCGAATTGCAAGGGGCTGGCCGACACGGGGGGGGAGTGTAGGTAAAATGGCACGACACAGCTTCAAGAAAACAGGTGGCTAATTGAGGTAAGACAATAATTATGCTCATAGATTATGCATGTATGAACTACACACTGACACGTCTAGCCCAAATACTTTTAGTCACCAAAGTACCGGAGCATGTCTTTAATAAAACATACAGACTCAGGGTTTAGCCTGGATAACAGAGTCTTGGAGCTGAGCAACGTTAACTTACTGTGCCGGCTGTGTCGAGGATTTCAAGCATGCATTGCTGTCCATCTACCTCCACTTGCTGCAGTGGAGAGAAAAATACAACATTAGAGCAGGCAGAGACAGACAGAGAGAGACAGAAAAGGGAGAGAGAGAGATATATAGACAAGAGGGTGAGAAAGAAAGAGCACAACATGTTGTTGACCCACAGACCAGCTGATAGCAATCAGCGTATTCCCTGGCAATTCCTCCCTTATGGGACACGTACCTTTCTGTAGGAGTCTTCTATTGTTGGGTCATATTTTTCCACAAAGATTCCCTGTACAAACTGGACTGTCTGTAAGAGAGGACACAACAACAAGTCAGATCAACAACTCACAACCCACCACTAGCACAGGAATATGAATTGATGGTGCTGTGGACCTTGAGGCCTGGATTTGCATAACCCTGGCCTGTGCTAGTTGGTATATAAGAAAGACATCTGGACTGAGCACTAAGCAGAGATGGTCACGTGTGGCTCAGTTGGTAGAGCATTGCGCTACCAACTGCCAGGGTTGTCGGTTCGATTCCCACCGGGGGCCAGTACAAAAAAGTATACAAATCTATGCACTCACTACTGTAGGTCACTCTGGATAATAGCATCTGCTAAATGGCCTGGAGTGGCCACCTACAGTAAAATACTCACCAGAGCGGACTTGCCCACGCCTCCCGAGCCTAGTACCACTAGCTTGTATTCACGCATGGCAGGATCTCTTCACGGGACAGCCCAACAGTCTGCACAGACAGGAGAAAAAGGTATTGTAAACGGACTGTCTGTAAGAGGTGGAAATATCAGTTCTCTCCCAATAAGATCATAGTCATTCCTATGGTTGGGACAAGACGCAGCATAACAATGGGAACACCCATAAGTGGAGCTCCAGGGTGGAGGTGAGGAGGAGTATATGACCCCATCCTCTAGCTAACACAAACCAGCTGTGGGTGTGAAGGGAGATGCTTGGGTTTGGCTGCCTGCTCCTATGACACAACCATCTCGCCGTCATGCATGCAGGCAGCACACCCCATCAGATTCATTTTTATGAATACAGCAACTGAAATCCATTGGCATGCGTCACATGGGCTTGCCCAATGGGTCAACTTGTAGGCCTATCTTTCTGCTACAGTATAGCAAAGGGCTCAAGACTGCGACCATTTAGTCGCATTTTGCGACCCTTTGACTTGGCTGTGCGAATGAAATGTTTTATTGGTTGCATCGGTGCGAGCTACACATTCTACATGGTTACTCAACTCAAAACGTCCAATTTATTTTAGGAGGCTAAACCATGATTTGGTCAAACAGTAAAGTACATTATCCTCATGAAAGTGTCTGCCTGCCCCTGTACCTGTTTTGCTTTGTTGAGCGAGCCGCTCTCCTTTCCCGGGGGGGAAGGAATGCTCAGGGAGAAAAAAATATGTTGTATAACATTTTAAAATCCAATTGCTGGTAAAACACAGCTATCGTGTTTTCACAGTTGAAGAGGAGGTTCTCAGCTTTCGGTAAGTATAGTTTAGATTTTTCAACTCTCAATTTTGTATATATTATATATATCAAATACCATCAGTAGTCGTTTACACTTTTTAATAAAGCACTGTCAATGACCTTATAAGATTATACTAATTTATTCTATTACGTGATGCCGCGGGGGGAAAAAAACAGATTGTGCTTCCAAATCATGGGCTGGTGCCAACAACTGAAAAACTTTGTGGCACCACTGCCACCAGGGGAAAATGTTAGTCTGGATCCCTGCTAGTTGGCAAAATCAGTTGTCAAGTCAAGAAAATGAAGAAACAACCACAATACTGTCCATTGGGGATAATGCTTAGTGTCCTTCCATTGACAACATGCCCTCTAGGGCTAAATACTCAAGGGACAGCTCCTAAAGAGACCTTCAGCTCCTGACTCCAGTCACCAGAGACAGACAGCCTCATGTGATATGAGACCAATTAATAATTTATGGAGAAGAGACTAATCCTCCTCATCATACGGGAGTTCAGTTAGTTTTTTTTAGGAGCCAGGGAAAGAGCACACTCCCACTTGTCTATGCACTTCTGAGAAGAAATGCTACCTGTCACTGGAGCTTTTATTCCACACGTCATCATGAGCTGTGAAAACTGTAATCCATGAGATATCTGAAAACTGCTAAGGTAGAGGAGGACAGTAAAGTCCAGAGACTTAGGTATTAGGATTATAAATGTTCATGCATGCTGGTGTGGATTTAATGTCACTGATAGCATAATACACTTTTCACTTCAAATGATGTATTAAAAACTACTTTAAATGTCTAATGTAAACTACAACTACATTTGAATAGATGTGACTATCCTGAGAAAGCCTGCTCCAGTAATGATGCATTCTCTGACAGCCCCAACAGCAAACTTTCATAGTGCTCTCTACGGCACTCCATTAACTGTGCACACGCGCACATCCCGCTTTCACGCACAAGACCATGTAAGGAAATTATTTAACTGAACCTCAACCACTTTCCCACCCCCCCTCTACTCGTTCCTCAATATCGTTCCCCACAAAACAAATAGCCTAAGTCTTTCCCTAATAGTAACTAACAAATAAGGAGAGTGAGCCATGCACCACAAACACGCTGAAACCATGACATCAGCACCATATAACTCACTCTCTATGGACAGAGGTATGTCTCCATGTAAGGCTTAAACTGGGAACAAGAGTTGCTGAGAAAGAGAGAGAGACTCCATAATGTGTGCCCTCTTTGCCGAGTCACAAATTAGACAAAAACTAAACACGATACGGATTAAGGATGGACACAACAGTTTACATTTCGTAAATAGTCATACCTTAGTAGCAGATCCGTACTCTGACATTTAGCTCAGACTTCAGCAGGCTATTTGGAGTATTGTGAGGGGAATGTCCTATGATGTTCATGGTAATCCGGTGACAATGATAGTGAGCCGTCACTGCGCCTGGCCCTGACTCAGCACCACATTTGATAGGCAGGTTCCTCTATCTCTCCAGACCAGTGTGGCCAGTGGAAAATACACTCCCACTTTGCACTTCCATATTAATTATAAAAATGTTCACTATGCTGCCACTGCTAGCAAAACAGGCACTGAATACAGTTTGAGTTAGAAAAGTTACAGTCAAACACTTGTGGTTCAGGATTTAAGGGTGCTAAAGAAGGGTGCTAAATCTACTCAAACTAATACTATTCAAACCGGCAAGATTGTGTTTCATGTCTTCCGTTATTACACATTCAAACAACTTCACCTCAGAAATACCCCAACTAAGACATCAGGAAATGACGGGGTAAAAAACACAAATCAGCAAAAGACAAAATCACAAGGTTAGAAGAGCAGAGAATCTAAATGATCCTTCTATGAGCTACAGTTTATCTGCACAATTCCAAACAGGCCCTTCATTTTTTTAGAAGAGTCCCATTGAAACCCCTAAATTAAAATCTGCCATCAGACCATAGAAACACGTCGCTCAGATGTCCTCTGTCTAGGCTACTTTCTAATGTGGTGACTATCTTCTGGCTCATAGCAGGCCTAGAGGTTTTAGGGTTGATGTTGAGGCTAAGGGCCACCTCCACTCTAAACTTTGGGCAAGTAAGTCATTGTATTTAACCAAGGCTGTAGCAACTGGTGGTTGTAACCATCATGAGTTGACAGTTGAATCAGAGGCGGGCGGCCCAAGCAAAAAAAGCTAAGAACTGCTGATACAATCACTGACTGAGAACAAGACGTGGTGTTAAATTGACGGTGAGCTGTGATACCACACATCCGGTTTCCTGGGCTACCAGTAGTACTCATAATCATGAGACATTTGTTTCTAATTTTCTCATTCCAATTTAGTCATCTGGATGGTCATTCATTCCAAATGCTAAGAATGAGGAGTGGCGTTAATTAGGAAAGTTATGGCCTCAGCCCTTTCTTTTGCCTCATCATTTGGAGAGTTGAGTCGACTAGTCAGCAACACTAATCCCTCAAAATCCCTAAAATCTATCCCCCTCTTCATTTACTTCCCTTCACACAGTCGTCATTGAAATTATGTTCACAACCACATTGTTTAGGACTGGAAACAAGTCACATTTTAGTGTAGATGTAAATAATAGAAAAAGGAGAAGTGAAATTGGGTTATGGTCTGAGAACTCAGAATGGAAATAAACTTTAAAATAGCTTCTCACTCTGTTCGTGTTCAGGACACAAACTGCAATGTTTACTTGGAAACATCAGAGGAGAGGGAAGTAAGCCGGTTAGCTAAGTTAAAGCCTAGATCTCATCCTAATGTTCGCAGATTCAGGCCACAGGATGACACTGATGCATCACTGTCTCCCAGGGGCAAAAACATCTGTAGTTCAATTGGTAGAGCATGGCGCTTGTAACGCCAGGGTAGTGGGTTCGATCCCCGGGACCACCCATACGTTTAAAAAAATGTATGCACACATGACTGTAAGCCGCTTTGGATAAAAGCGTCTGCTAAATGGCATATTATTATTATGTATGGTGCATACCTGTATGCAATGTATAGGCCTAGTACTGTACTGTCAAAATAAAGCATTTAATGGTTCATGTTCAATTTATGTGAAATGTAATAGAGGCTGGCTTAGTTGAGGGGACTTGTCTGAACGCTGTCACAAACACATGGATGCCTAGATAGTGACTGAATGTTTAAAATGAGCCACTAATAACCACACATCCAGTCAGTCAGTGCTATAATGTTAATCCCTACCAGTGCCACCCTCCTAACTTGAGCTGTTTTACAGAAGGGAGTAGTGACTTAGCTAACTACACTGAACAAAAATAGAAACGCAACATGTAAAGTGTTGGTCCCATGTTCCATGAGCTGAAATAAAAGATCCCAGAAATGTTCCATACGCACAAAAAACCTTCTCAAATGTTGTGCACAAATTTGTTTACACCCCTCTTAGTGAGCATTTCTCCTTTGCCAAGATAATCCATCTATCTGACAGGTGTGGCATACCAGAATGCTGATTAAATAGCATGCGCATTACACAGGTGCACCTTGTGCTGATGACAATAAAAGGCCACTAAAATGTGCAGTTTCGTCACACAACACAATGCCACAGATGTCTCAAGTTGAGGGAGCTTGCAATTGGCATGCTGACTGCAGGAATATCCACCAGAGCTGTTGCCATTGAATTGAATGTTCATTTCACTACCATAAGCCGCCTCCAACGTCATTTTAGAGAATTTGGCAGAACGTCCAACCGGCCTCACAACCTCAGACCACATATATGGCATCATGTGGGCGGTTTGCTTGATGTCAACGTTGTGAACGCAGTGGTCTAAGGCACTGCATCGCAGTGCTAGCTGTGCCACTAGAGATCCTGGTTCGAATCCAGGCTCTGTCGTAGCTGGCCGTGACCGGGAGACCCATGGGGCGGCGCACAATTGGCCCAGCGTCGTCCAGGGTAGGGGAGGGAATGGCCAGCAGGGATGTAGCTCAGTTGGTAGAGCATGTGGGTTCGATTCCCACGGGGGGCCAGTATGAAAAAATAAAAAAATATGTATGCACTCACTAACTGTAAGTCACTCTGGATAAGAGTGTCTGCTAAATGACTAAAATGTAAATGTAAATGTGAACAGAGTGCCCCATGGTGGAGGTGGGGTTATGGTATGGGCAGGCAGGCAGGCATAAGCTACGGACAACAAACACAATCGCATTTTACCGATGGCAATTTGAATGCACAGAGATACCATGACGAGATCCTGAGGCCCATTGTCGTACCATTCATCCACTGACATCACCTCATGTTTGATAATGGACAGCCCCATGTCGCAAGGATCTGTAAACAATTCCTGGAAGCTGAACAAGTCCCAGTTCTTCCATGGTCTGCATACTCACCAGACATGTCACCCATTGATACTGTTTGGGATGCTCTGGATCGACATGGATGACAGCATGCTCCAGTTCCCCCAAATATCCAGCAACTTAGCACAGCCATTGAAGAGGGGTGGGATAACATTCCACAAATCAACAGCCTGATCAACTCTATGTGAAGGAGATGTGTCATGCCGCATGAGGCAAATGGTGGTCACACTAGATACCGACTGGTTTTCTGATCTCACCCCTACTTTTTTTTTTTATGTATCTGTGACCAACAGGTGCATATCTGTATTCCCAGTCATGTGAAATCCATAGGTTTAGGGCCTAATTCATTCCTTATATGAACTGTATGTAACTCAGTAAAATCTTTGAAATTGCGTCATGTTGCGTTTATATTTTTGTTCAATATACAGCAGAAGAACCAACAGACATCCACAGGTCAAACTACATATTATTGTGATGATACTATGATTTGGTAGCCTGGTTGCCAAATGACAGGAGTGACATGTTAGCTAAAAAGACTGGTATCCAGTCCCAGACTAATGATTTAGCGCACTACTGTTAACTAGCTAACGTTACCTCTTACACCCTCGCCAGATAGCTAACAAACCCTGAGCCTACAAACACAGCTAGCTATCTAGCTAGCTAGATCCTCACTGCTAACAATCGACAGCTAACTAACTCATTTCTCTAAATAACTCACAGTTGACCCAGGTCAACTAGCTAACAACCTAGCTAAACTAACGAACTTGATTAGCTCAAAGAAATACATATCTAACGCTATAACTAAATAGAGTAACTACTACAATTATGTCGTAGCATATTAAAGTAGGTTTAAAACGATTTCAAAATGCCAATTCACTAGCTAGCTTGTTAGGTACCACGCTAATAGTTAGCAAACTAGCACGCGACTGATTGGTCGACTTCACGAGCTAACGTAGCTAGCTGTAACTGCATGCATTCCTGCGCCTCCGCACACAATACGAAACATAAACCATCATGCACATCTTTGGACAGCTATAGTTATCATTTTTAAATACATTCCAAGTTTGTTATCTACATTATCTAACAACATGTAGAATGTTTTTCGCAACCCGTTAGCTAGCTACCTGCCCTTCCGCCTGGCCTTGACTTAAAATGGGAGTGCACACACAGCTTTTAGGGGAGTGCAAATTCCTAATCTCAGTCTCTAAATGCAGGATATTCACTGTGCCGTGCTTTCCTTTCTAATTTACCTAATTGTTTTGCCAAACATGTTATCGCAGGTGGCTTTTTGACAGCCTTGGTGGCAAAATAAAGTTAGCCTTTTTACACTCACCGTTTCTTCGCTCGCTCCACTCCGCCACTGTCTGTCTATATCCCTCCGGCCTCTGTGCGCAGTAGAAGTCATTCCAAACTATTTCTCGGTTTTCTTAAAAGGGCAATGTCAAATTTTGCACTGGTTCCTTTTGTGGTGGTAGAGGACGATAGAACAAAAAAGGACATTGGGTAATTCACAGCTCATAATTGCAATGCTTTATAATTCACTTATTTATAGATATGTTCCATGCAGGATTTAATAAAAATGTTTATCAACATCATGGCCCTGTGGCCCCTGACAAACCCAATCAGTTAACTCAGCCAAAGCATTTAAGCAAATCTTAAATGTCAACCTTATTATCAAAATCAGGTAAAGTCAGGTACTATCAAACCCAGATGAGTGGCAGGTAGCCTAGCCGAGCAGACAAGGTGAAAAATCTGTGCACTTGAGCAATGCACTTAACCCTAATTGCTCCAGGGTCGCTGTTGTTAATGGCAGACCCTGGCTGTGGCCCCACTCTCCGAGAATGTCTCAGGGAGAGTTGGGATATGCAAAATATATATTTCCAATACACACTTTCACATGTGTGAAATAGGACTAATATTAGCACCCAGCAAATTAATATAAATGAGGTCTCCTGTATGCCACAAGAATGGGTTAGCCCTCTGAGCTAAAGCATAGGTAATACAGTGTTTTGTTTTGGCTTGTACTCCAGCACTTTGGATTTGAAATGATACAATGACTATGAGGTTAAAGTGCAGACTGTAAGCTTTAATTTGAGGGTATTTTCATCAATATCGGGTGAACCGTTTAGAAATGACAGCACGTTTTGTACATAGTTCCCCCATTTTAGGGGACCAAAAGTATTTGGACAAATTCACTTATGTATTAAAGTAGTCAAAAGTTTGGTATTTTGTCCCATATTCCTAGCACGCAATGATTACATTAAGATTGTGACTCTACAAACTTGTTGGATGCATTTGCTGTTTGTTTTGGTTGTGTTTCCGATTACAACAATAATGTATGTTGATGCTAAAATTATGTACAATATCTAATTATGTTTCCATATGATAACAATAGCCTAATATATATTCTATATGCTGTAAACTATTGTCTTTTAACAGTTTCACTCAATTCATTCTAATCAACCTAATAATTGGCACACCCCCTCACTATTGTCATTGGTGCACTAATTGCACTGTTTGTCTACATAACCTGGTTCACGCATTCATGACATTACCCTGAAGAAGGCACAGTAATGCCGAAACGTTGGTATTTTACCCAATAAATTACTGGGAGTTTATATATAGAGAGTGTGCGACGGTCTTTATTTTTATGGCTTACAGTTTATTCGCCGATAGTCAGCACATCTACACTAAATAATTGTCTCTGGGTGTACGCTAGCTCATGCCTTTTACTGAAAGGAAAACTGACATGGACAACTCTTTCAGGATATCTTGTGTATACTGCCCTCTAGTGGTGACACTTTCGGGTTTTAGTCCTTGAGACAAAATAAAATAAAATAAAATAAAATTGTATTGGCCACATGCGCCGAATACAACAGGTGCAGACATTACAGTGAAATGCTTACTTACAGCCCTTAACCAACAGTGCATTTATTTTTAATAAAAAAGTAAAATAAAACAAAAAAAAAAGTGTTGAGAAAAAAGAGCAGAAGTAAAATAAAATAACAATAGGGAGGCTATATATACAGGGGGGTACCGGTGCAGAGTCAATGTGCGGGGGCACCGGCTAGTTGAGGTAATATGTACATGTGGGTAGAGTTAAAGTGACTATGCGTAAATAATTAACAGAGTAGCAGCAGCATCGTTGTCGGTGATCAGGCCTACCACTGTTGTGTCGTCTGCAAACGTAATGATGGTGTTGGAGTCGTGCCTGGCCATGCAGTCATGGGTGAACAGGGAGTACAGGAGGGGACTGAGCACGCACTCCTGAGGGGCCCCCGTGTTGAGGATCAGTGTGGCAGATGTGTTGTTACCTACCCTTACCACCTGGGGGCGGCCCGTCAGGAAATCCAGGATCCAGTTGCTGTTGGGGCTGTATGCAAATTGGAGTGGGTCTAGGGTTTCTGGGATAATGGTGTTGATGTGAGCCATGACCAGCCTTTCAAAGCACTTCATGGCTACAGACGTCAGTGCTACGGGTCGGTAGTCATTTAGGCAGGTTATCTTAGTGTCCTTGGGCACGGGGACTATGGTGGTCTGCTTGAAACAGTTCTCCAGGCTGAGATACCAGTAGCTTCTGAATAATGTATGCCACTCAACACCAAAGCAAATGGTATGAAAATATATGAGGTGGCATGATGAATGGCAGGGGTGGCTATACCTCATCCTGGAGATCTACTGGGTGTGCAGGCTTTGCTCCAGCCCTGCTGAAACACAACCCTAAAATATATGTTGTAAGAGCATACTCAATAGCCATACACCAACAAAGCTCATTTCAAACCTTTTCATTGTCAAAAAAGTTAAAGGGGAAATGAAGTTGCACTTTGTGATAGTTTGAAAGTTAAATAAAAGCTAAAAAATAACATTTTATTAGACAACTTTTATTCTTGTTTAATTCAACCTGTCATACAGACAAGTTGTATCAACCTCTTTCATGAGGACCATTGAGCAATTGGTGAGATTTGTCCATAGGTTTGCACTGTCACCCTTTGTCTCAGACACATCCTTTGCCAGCAGTAATTTGCTCCTCTCTTGGTGTTAATTAAATGCAAAAAATAAATAAGTAATTATAAAACCTACATTTTCAGGGACAGTATAATGAATATTTGCCTTCTTTTATACCGTTCCAATAAAATGAATGAATAAAATACCAGCCTAGTTATTTCATTTACAAAACGGCGCGCACAAGCACAAGATACGATGAACAATAAGGCAAATAAGCAATACATACCAAATACATGCAGGAAAGTTTTTATACACATATGAAAGACATTATACAAGTTTGATACAATCCATCTTTGACTGGACATTGACAGCCATGGCAGTGAGCTTGACTCAACATCAGCTTCAGTTTGTCTGTCACACTTGCAGGGTATACATGCATGTTTGTACAAACCCACAAGTCACAAACCTTTCCCTCGTTCAGATATTTTAACCGATTTAGGGTGAACTAAACACAACTGACAAGGCTGAGGATGGTAAAAGGCAAATCTGTACATCGGCTCTGGAAAAAAAGTGTGGATTTGCCCTTCAGTTCTCTGACCCAGTTCATAATGTTAGGTGCAATTGTAATTGCGTATTATGTAGAATTTTCCTCCATTTCCTCAGTGTAACTTCAGCGAGGAATTAAAAAAGGCCTTGAGTGTCAGAGGGGCCTCTCACTGGTACTGTCTGTAGTCTCCTCCATAGGAGGGGGCAGGCATGGGGGCTGGCTCCTCAGCAAACTGGGGACCTATAGAAAGAAGGGAAGAGGTGAGAGATGAGATTAGGGATAATACATTCAAAAGACAACTGGGCAGTAAGCAGTCATTTGCGCTCCCTATAACCCTTCATTGTAGCCCTGTAAATCAACTACAGCATAAGACAGCATTGCTCAGAGAGGCACACTGACCAGTTGGGAACTGTGACGAAGCAAATCTAGTGAGCAGGATTCCAGCGCCCTCTATCAATGCCAGTAGTATACCTCCCATTGCTGCAGAGCCTACCATGGCCACTGGTCCATCTGAGGACAACAATAAAGGAATCAGTACAACAGAGACTAGTCTTTACAGTACACCAATAAACAAAAAATATAACATTTACATTGAACAAACACTGAGTCTATGTGAATGCTCTGAAGCCCAAGTTGTGTTTTAAGCATGCGGATATACATAACTGTGTTCAACAAGGAACCAATGGTGAACTTTGTGCAAAAGTTATTGTAAGATATCTATATAAAGCGACATTTTGTTGTGTGAGTATGTGGGTGAAAGTGCGACAGAAAAACAGTGCGAGGGCCCCTTCTTCACAGCAATGTTCGTCTTAAAATGGGAATTCTTAAACTATCACTCACTTCTTGCTGCGAGGATGGCTCCAGTCATGGCCCCGCTTGTGATGGAGTTCCAGGGGTCCTCTTTCCCCCGTACCTTTACCAACCCACAGTCAATCATGGAGAAGAGGCCACCCCATACTGCAAAGCTACCTACAATACAACATCATCCACATGGTTTCAGACAGCGCAAGCAACAACGACTTGCAGTCTAAGAACAAAATAAGAACCAAATAAGCTTGAACTTGAATTTGACGTGCACTTACCCCCCAACTGCGGGGCCCTGGTCTTGATGGCTGTCATGCTACCTTTCAATCTGTGGCTCATCCCCTGAGGAACAAAAAGAAGACGGCATCAAAACTCCTCATTCTTCTAAGCACAACCCATTCAGCACAGTGCAACATTCAGTCAAACAGGGCTTTAATTGATGGGCAATTTCATAAATTCAACTTTAACTTAACTGTTCCTTCATATCCCATAGGCTATATCGAACATAGCTGTCAATTTACACTGAAGAAAAATATATAACGCATCATGCAACAATTTCTACGATTTTACTGAGTTACAATTCATATAAGGAAATCAGTCAATTGAAATAAATTCATTAGGCTTTTTTTTTTATTGTCCCCAGCACAAGGTGCACCTGTGTAATTATCATGCTGTTTAATCAGTTTCTTGATATGCCACACCTGTCAGGTGGATGGATTATCTTATTAAATGAGAAATGCTCACTAACCGGGATGTAAACACATTTGTGAACATTTCAGAGAAATACGCTTTTTGTTCACATGGAAAATTTCTGGGATCTTTTATTTCAGCTCATATTTCAACAATTTATGTTGCGTTTATATTTTTGTTCAGTGTAATATTTCACATGGGTGAATTTATTTGCATGGCTGAACTTACTGCAGGTGAATTTCTAAAGCCCTTGACCGCCTGGAAGATACCTCCTCCAATGGCCCCCATGGTGAAAGCACCCCCACAGTCGTCCACGATTCTCCACGGACTGCAAAAACACAGTGTTTTCAATAAACACACATATGCAGATAAGCACACAGGTCTTTACCAGTTTGCTTCAGGGTCATAGGTGCATTTAAATGCATGATACATAGCTAGCTAGTGTAAAGTAGTCTGAAGGCTCATGTCAACAGGCTATTCAAAGTGTGTGATTGCCACCGAGTAATGTTAGATAATGGTAGGCTAGTGTTGCACTGTATACCAGTACCACGGAAATATCACGGTACCAAAACGTCATGATACTTATGATACCAACATTTTAGAATACCGTAGTACCGTTTCATATGATACTACCATGTTTCAGCCCTACCGATCTAAAGATCCAGCTGTTGCCTGTTATAAATTTTTTATAAAGTCAGTTACATTTGTTAAAGTCTCTTGTATGTGTCATTCCAATAATGTCCACTTCACTTTCATGCGCAGCTCACGTGGCAGCTGAGATCAGCCAGCCTCATCCCCTACCAGCCTTCACTCAAAGCTTCTCTCTGTCCACTCTTCCTGCGCATCTATTCCTCCATCAGTTTTTTTAAACACAATTTTGCTGGCAAGCAGGGATGCAGACCCTGATGTGTCTTGTTGTTACATTTCTAGATTTGATACATTGGAGCAGAGCACATAGCGAGCAAAGTTGATACATTGTATCGTTTAAATCGCATGTTATAACCAAGAGCACAGGCCAGTCTGAGTAGGCTTTGCAATTGCAAGTTCGCTGTCACGCTGCCTCTGAGTGAAAGAGGAAAAATGGAGCACAGCTTAGCAACAGGCATGCGTGCAGCTTTACAGTAAAGAAAACGGCATGTCTCTAGCCCAAATGGTTAAAGAAAAAGTTTACCCATATTACAAGAGCTACCTTTTTTCCTTCCTGTGCAATTTCGCATGCATTTTATATAATTTTGCAGTCTGTGATTTAAACGAATCCCCCGTCGCTAATTATTGGTTTGATAAACAACGTTGAGGTAACTAACAACCTGCTACCTTGACAGTAGATCTAGGCAAATTTGATTGGCACAGGAAGAAAGGTACAGCCTAATGTTAGCGTAATATATATTATATCTTTCTGGTGCTCCTTAAATTCAGTTTGGTGCGTAATTTTTTTAAAGTTGGAAGCAGTGTGTGTATGTTTGTGGGAGAGAGAGTGGTTTGTGTGTTTATGAGAGAGAGGGAGACAGAGTGGCTAAATCCCAAATCACCCTCTTCCCTTCCCCTCTGCCCTCCATTTGCACACGCCTCTGTCATTTGCACATGCCCCAAAGCTGAGGGAGTGAAAGTTATCGAGGGTGTAGGGGCTAATTGGCCCCTCCGGTAGGCATTTCGACTGAGCCTGCAACGCTGCCGGCTTCATAGCGAAGTGGAATCCCATAAGGCACTGTGTTATTATTTTGTTTGCGCAATTTCACACAAAACAATGGAGAGGCGTGCCTAATTATATATACATGCATTTGTTTATGTCTGATGTCAAGACTTGACACATGTAAAAGATGTTTAACAAATTAAATGTTTAACTGTTACTGAGGTTTATATTTTGTAAAACGACGGGGGAATTTGTTCATTTGAATGCTTGTTTTATTATTTAAATGGATTTATTGATCTCCTCACCACTCTCTGGAAGTCACCCACGGTTTCGTCAGCAACACGTGACTTCAGAGGGCCCTCCGACCGAGTTGGTAGGGGCGAGGCGGTGGTACCACCAAGTATGTGAGGGAGGGAGAGTGTGTGCATTAACTGAAGAGTAAAGAAGGTTTCATGCAGTGTTTTCCCCTTACTGTCACAAGGACATACAATTAATTACGCATGTATATTCCTTCCCCAATACATGTCAGACATGCTTTTAAGTTATGTACCCAGTAGGTCCCTCTGGTACTGGCCTTTTAACTATCCCAAAGCCCAATAGGCATGGAGAGGCAGCCTTTAGTTATTATGCCCCCAACCTCTGGAATAGCCAAAACCGTGGACATATTTAAAAGTGATCTTAAAACCTATTTTTAGATTTGCTTTTCCTTAGGGTGCTTTTTAGTTTTTGTCATTCTTTAGTTGTTGTTTTTTTTTATCTTATGTTGTGCAGTAAATATTTCAGCTTTTATTTTCATTTTGATTTCTCCAGTAAAGCACAGTGCCCCCTACATGGTATCGCGATACTTGGCCTGATATCGTGACAACACTAGTAGGCTTGTTACCTAGCTAACTTGCTACTGTAGCAGCTTGAAAGGTAGCTTGTCACACAGCACATTATCTTACCAACTATAGCCCTTGCAATTGCTAGCATATAACGTTAGCGAGTGGACTAACGTTAGTTATCATTAACTTACTATCGGTGTCTGTTAAGTACTTCATATATAGGCTTTCTTATGTTGAGGGAGCATGGAGAAGTTACATCATGCATTGTAAATTGATTGAGCAACCGGCACAACCACTAGTTAGCAGCAGGGCTAGCTACATGGGAACATGGGCATTAGCTAGTTACAAAGCAAATGTGGGAATTATTCAGACTAACTTGTGGTGAATAATGTGTATCACACAACGTACACGTGAAATTATAACTAAGCATTTAACGTTTGACATATCAAATCATCCACATCAAACAACAGCGTCTGAACGCTCAACAAGGTCACTGAAGTGGGCTACCAACTCCGCTAGCTAGCATCGGACATTAGCTTAGCTGAACATCTTCGTAGTCGGACGGTTTAGGGGTTTAACATATTCGTTTGGATTAACAATATATTTAATGTATATTGTTTCAGGTTATATCGCTATGCTGTTAAGACACCAGCAACAGTGTGTTGCAATTTAATTCACTAGCTGCTTACACTCACCATGGCTCCCGTGCGTATTCCTCCATTTTGTTCTTTCACTGTTCCCTTCTGACGTAACTGCCGCGTTCAAAACAACTGGAAACTCGGTCATCTCTGACTTCAATGCGTTCAATGCTTGGTTCAGAACAACTTGGAACTGGGAAATCGCCGACTTCAGGCGTTAAATACAACTGGGAAAAATCCCAATCGGAATTCCATGTCAGGAGCTCGGGCCTCTTTCTAGAGCTCTGACTTTCCAACCTGAAGATCACTGTCATGATTTGACCTTGTTTATTTTTTTTACAGAGTTCCCACTTGTCATGAAAGCACCAAACAACTGGAGGAAGAGGAGGTCACAAAATAAATAAAACCACAACTGTTATTTTATTTGTGCATTCATTGATCTTTATTAGGGGTTCACAGCAAAGACTTAGGTTAGTTAAATCCCTTGTAATTCCACTTCACAATGGCTTATCAGCATGAAACGTTTTAGGATAATCAAAGACATTACCATGATGAACCATGTTAAGTTTGAAATAATAAGAAACTATTAACAATTAACTCTTTTGACTATGTAACGCTAATGCTTAAAATATCTATAAAAAATATTATTCTCATGGACTAAAAGTCAGATTCACTCCAAATTTGGTCTTTGGACTCATCACAATAGTCCCTAAAGAGTTTGAGAAATAAAGATGTATTCAAAGATGGCCACACTATACCAGTAGATGCATATTAGCACACACGCTAAAATGCAAAAAAAGACACACAAAAAAGACTTACAAAATGTTCTTCTCATGAACCATAGGATCAAATTACGCTGAACTTTGTTTGAGAAAAGCTAAGGGATTGGTCACTGTAAATCCACTCCACTTGAAACTTGTCATCGCTATTACATTTTACATTTTCGTCATTTAGCAGACGCTCTTATCCAGAGCGACTTACAAATTGGACCATGGACTTCCCTAAGGTGAACCACACTGTTAGAGGGATTCCAATACTGATGTCTGCTAAAAGGATAGCCCAACCCACAATGTATTTATGCACTTCTGTAGATCACTTGCTTTGACCCAAATGATAAAAGATCCCACCAGGGTATGTGAAACAGTGCAAAGTAACGATTATCTTAATATTGGTGTCTGAGAAATCCAAAATATCGCATAGTGGAGTAATGGTATATGGAATCAGTGATCATTTTATTAAATTTTGCACAAGGAGGGTTATTATAGATATATTTAAGTGTCACAAAACTGTTAAACTGTTTTTACTGTATATAAACGATATGAAAGATGCTTATTATTGCCATCTTTTCCTTTATGCGGATGACTCTACACTTCTGTTGTCTCACAAAAGTAAAACTATGTTGGAGAGCATACTTAGCACACAGCTTACTAACATTAGCAAATGGCTTGGAGATAATAAGCTATCTCTGCACTTACGTAAAACGGAGGCAATTATTTTTGTATCCAGACCTAAATTGAGTAGGTCCTCTGAAATCAGAGTGGAGTCAGGGGGTGAGGTGCTGACTACAAAAACCTCTGTTAGCTACCTGGGATGCATCCTTGATGGAAGCTTGGGAGTTGTGAGCATGGCCACTAAAGTGCTAGGGAAGGTTAATGCCAGGACTACATTGTTGGCTAAAAAGTCCAAGCTGCTTGATAAGGACTTAATGAAAGTGCTAGCCACTGCCCTCATTCAATGCCATTTTGACTGCGCTAGTACTTCCTGGTTTGGGGGCTTATCTAAGCTTATGAAGGGGAAGCTCCAGATAGCCCAGAATAAGCTGATCAGGATAGTATTGAAGGTGAGTCCATGTACTCACATAGGCAGGACTGCTTTCAGGAACTCAACTGGCTGCCTGTTGAGGCTAGGGTGTCCCAGATTAGACTGGGTTTGGTTTACAGGAGTATTTATGGTTCTGCATCCAGATATCTAACTGATTACTTTCCCCGTGTTAGGGATGCACACAATCACAGCACCAGATCAGGTGTTGCTAATGTGTGCTTATCCAGGTTCAGGAGTAATGCTGGGAAAGGTACTTTCTTGTATACTAGAGCCTCAGAGTGGAATGAGTTGCCTCTGCTAATAAAAACGACGTCCTCTCTGGGCAGCTTTAAAAAATAAAGTAAAAAACTGTTTGATGTCTTCTGTGCCCATATGAATTACCTCTATGATGTAACTGCAATGATGAGATAGATG